GTATGCACACAAAAGCTTGCATGTGAATTTTCATAGCAGCATTATTCATAATAGCCAAAAAGTGGAAACAACTCAAATGTCGATCAACTGATGAATGAATAAATAAAACATGGTGTAGCTATACAATGGAGTATCACTTGGCAATAAAAATGAAGTGCTGATGCATCATACAAGGATAAACCTGGAACACATTATGCTAAGTGAAAAGAAGCCAGTCACAAAGACCACATATCATATTTCACTTACGTGAAATGTGCAGAATGGTCAAATCCACAGAGACAGAAAGTAGATTAGTGGTTGCCTATAGCTAGGAGTTCGGGGGGAAATGAAGAGTGACTGCTAATGATATGGGGCTTCTGTTTAAGGTAATAAAAATGTTCTAAAATTGATTGTGGTAATGGGTGCACAACTCTGTGAATATACTAAAAACCACTGAGTTTAAAAAAAAAAGTAACTTTGTAATACCTACCAGAAACAGAGTGATTAAATAAAATTTCATATATCAAAGAGAGCTATAGAGAAAATACAACAGAGTAATATTTTTCAAAGGAATATTTTGGACTAAGATTCATGGTTCACAAGAACTGTCCCTTTCTCCAGTGTATTTCACAGTCTTCTCTGAATTCCAGTCCTCTTTCCTGATATTTCACATCGCAAGACAAGGATGAGCAAGGCCTGTGGGATTCAGTGACTTTCTCCCTAATTTGGAGATATTTTCGTCAGATTTGGCACCAGTGATTTCTGCCCTACCCACTCCCAGTCTCATACTTCAGTTTGAAGGATACAGGATTTTCCAACATCTCTGGACCAAGGAAATGGCTTAGATCTGCCCTCATGTCCAATAAGGATAACAAAATGACGTGGATGCCAAAATTTATCTAGAGGAAAGGCAAAACCTACCCTAAGACAATAAGTCAGGGCAAGTTGTAACTTGGCAACCCAGTTTTCTAGATAAGTAAGGGCACAAGGTAGTTTCTGAGACCCTGGCCTTCCTCCTTAAGAACACATGGAGGGACGTCCTCACTGGAGTAGAAATGGCAGTGTTCGTTCAAGGAATCTATTTTAACCCTCCAAAGCCAGTGGGTTGTTTCCCTTGTTAAGTCTGCCAAACCAACATCCCACCCTGAAAAATTAGTACAAATGATTTCTATTTAAAATAAAATTGTCCCATTTGCAACAGCATGGATGAGCTTGGAGAAACTTATGTTGAGTGAAATAAGCAAAGCACAGAGGGATGAATACCACATGTGCTCACTCATAAGTGGGAGCTAAGAGGGAAAGAAGGAAGGAAAGAAAGACCACAGTGGTGCTTTGGACTTACAGAGGGAGAGAGCACACCTAGGGATACAAAGTGGAGTGGGGGTGGAAGGTGAGGGAGGTTGGGGATAATTGGGTGGAGGATACGGGGTACAGTCGCAATTTCTGGTAATGGGCATGCTGCCACTATGGATCTGGCCTTCACATCTTGGGCACGAGGGGTGACAATCAGCTTTGTATCTCATGAATATTCATAACCAATGAAAAATTCAAATTAAATTTTTTTTTTAAATGTTTTTAAGGATCTTTTCCGAGCTATCCTATTCTCTCCCACACTCTTGCTATAGAAATAAAAGCCTATGTTATTTTTGTGGCAATAAAACATATACTTTTACCCTTGACTTGTACCCAATTCCCAATGACCTGCTGACTTGATTTAGTAGCAGTTACCTATATCTGAAGACAGACTTTGGCCCCAAGGAGTTGCATGCTATAAAGCTCAAATAAATTCTCTTACAAATCTCATAAAAAGAAGTGAAAATACTTTATTTCTCATCGTAGATAAAGGAAAAGAAAGTATGTGTAAAGATTGATTGTGATTTGTGAAGTGTTCAGTTGGTAAAAATTGGACCATTGTGGCAAAGTGTTTGACACAGCACCTGTGAAATACTCCGGTGTAATAAAGCAAGGTTCTCTTCCTCCATTCTAGGCTATTTTTGATCGGAACCGGAAAGATGAACTGCCTCGATTGCAATTGGAGTGGATTGATAGCATCTGCATGCCCTTGTATCAGGTAATCTTGATTTGGGAGGGTCTGCGCATCATGACAGAAAAGGAAGAGTGTGTATAAGACACTTTCAGAAGCAGTCACTTTCGGGGCCGGCCTCGTGGCTCACTCAGGAGAGCGCAGTGTGGGTAGCGCCGAGGCCACAGGTTCGGATCCTATATAGGGGTGGCCCGTGCACACATTAAAATATGGAAGTCGCAGGGAAATCTTTCAGGAAAGAAATGTTTCACCTTAATTAACTCTAAATTTCTTAAACATACTTGACCACAGCAATCCTTTTTATTTTGTTTACAATTTTTCTTTTAGTTTTATTGATATCATGAGAGACAAGAGGGTTCCATGAAACTTGGTTTTCTGCTCTGACCTCATGGTCTAGGCCCGGGGGGGGGGGGGTGTGTGAAGCATCTTCCATCTTCAAAACCTGCCGCTGTCTGAGATGCATGCGACAAATCTCAACCAATGAGTGCTGAGCAAGATGCACTCATGATTTCTAGCTCTGCTGCCTGGCCTGCAAGACTCTGCATACTCCACTTTTTGAGTACAGATTAGGGCTGGCATCAGTTAACACTAACAGTTTAGCGTACATTGGCTTTTAATTCTCCTTGTAAGCATTTGCTTTCATATGTAAAACCTGGCGAGTTCTTTAACCCCCCACCTAGCTCAATCAGACTGAACTTCTTTTCTGACTTCAAAGTGAGAAGCATGCAGGGAAAGCAAAACCTCTTTAGTTTCTCACTCTGTGTGACTCCATTAGAAACACAGTATTGTTTTTTAAGGACTTCACAACCATTAAGTTTCAAGCTTATCTACCACTTTGTTTTCAGCACTTTTAGTAACTGCTGAGGCCTGTCACAGTACTCTGGAAAAAGAAAAAAATCTAGAATACTGTCTTGAAGATGTAAATGTAATTTTTAAATAAATAAAAGTAAATTCATTTTTTGTTTTATATTATCCATCAAATACATAATAGCCAAAAATCAGGCCAATAAAGTCTTAAAATAATTTAAAATTGATTATTTTCAAGAATGTTGTACAATTTACTATAAGGGGATCCTCAGCTCTCTTTTCTTCCTGTCTGCTCCTCCCATCCTCTATGTCTCTGAATAAGCTGGGACCCCATGTGTAAGGCCCGCAGCTGTTGGATCAGTTATATCTTGTTTTGCTAAATTGACCTTGACTACCCTCACTGAATTATTTTTTTAACGTTATTGAGTTTCCTGTGCACACTTAGGCAATAAATGGGATGAATAAATTATTCTTCCAATTAATAAATTCCTTTTACTGTGTGTAAAGCTCAGGAGAATGAAGACTGATTAATTTTTGGTACTAGTTTGCAAAGCTACTTTGGAGCAAACCGAAGTCTACACATTCTTCCTATGTGATCAGTAAATATAAATATATATATATATAT